AATGCTATCCACATCCAGAAAAAGAACTATGGAGTCTGAATGCAGGCGGAAGCATACTATTTTCTCTTTTTTTTTTTTGTTTCTACTTTCTCATGGTTTCTCACATTGGTTCTAATTCTTCTTTACAACATGACTAATGTGAAAATGTTTGCTATGAATGTATGTGTAGAGCCTATATCAAACTGTGCGCCATCATGGGAAGGGGTAGGGGAAGGAGGGGGAGAAAATTTAGAACTCAAAATCTTATGGAAGTGAATGTTGAAAACTAAAAATAAATTGATTTTTAAAAATTTTATAAATAAAATGTTTAGAAGGCAAAAAGTCAATGAAGGCAAATTCCGAATTTAGGCATCTGCAGTCTAAGTTTAAGTTTAAGCCTTTCACAGTAAGTTTGAGGCTCAACTTATTTGAATACCTGTACATTCAATTCACCTGGAAGACAGGCAAGTTGAAAAAGTAGTCTACTGTGTGCCATTCTCAGAAATGAATAAAAGCTAATGGTGGTCACTTTCCTCCTTGTTATGTGCTATAGTATTCTAACATCACAATTTATAGTACAAATGTTATTGAAGTAACTACTAAAGTGTTGTACATATTTCGTTGAAACCACCTGTAGTATTTGGCACAGTAGCATTACCGTGCCAAAAATATTCTACCCCTAGGATAGGCAACAAGCAAAGATTCTGAGACACCCTCTTGTCCTTAGGTGGTTGTCCTTGTCTACCTGAACCTACGGCTTTCAAGAGTTATAGAAGACATAGGGATATGGTTTGAAGAAACCCCCACTACTAGGATAAACAAGCACTTTGAGGTTCCTTCTTCCCTTAGGTGGTTGTACTTGGCCAGCCAACTGAAATGTTACAGAGGTCCCAGAGACAGGAAGACAAAGCAATATACTACAGTGGAAACGATACTGTGCCGGGAGACGTAAGACCTGTGTTCTAATCCAAAATTACCTCCAAACCAGCTATTTAACATTGAACTAATCACTCTGCTGTGGGCTCATTTCCTAATGTGACATGAGAGGGATGGCCTACATGAATATCAAGGTCCCTTTCAACTTTTATAATCTTTTTCATAGGAACAGACCCATCTGGGCATCTCTATCCTTTTACCTAAGCCATGTCACCTTTTTCTCTCTAAGTGTCTTGCATATTGGAGGTTCTATTTCATCTGAGTAAATAATTTCTGTATTGACTCACATCAGGGGAACTCTGGATTCCTATTCTCATTTTGGTCCACTGTTTCCAGGTGCCAGAACAGTCCCTTTGTTTTCTGCTAGATCTCAGCTCTCAAAACCATTGAAGCCAAAGCCGATGTTGGATGTTGCAACTTCCCAATATATACACTGGGGAAGATTGTCTCTTCAGGATGTACCCAGAGTTAAATAAAAAATGTCAAAAAAAAGTGCTCTGAGCTCCTAGGAGATAGGGAACCTATAAAGCCTATAAAGGCACCACTGCTATATCCTTTAGCCAAGTTATACAGATTTCATTTTCATGTTTTCCCCTAGAGTTGATTCTTCCCAAACCCTTAATCATTTCTGTTGCTTATTCTGAATTCCCTCCAGCCTGAAACTATTTTTTTTCCTGGCACTGTAGAAATCAGAACCAAACAAAAATCCAGATGCCATTCCCAAACCAGCCATACAAATTGGGAAGGGGAAATGATGATCATCTCACTAGGATGTGGTTCTTATGGCTTACTCAAAAATTTGAGTCAATACAGTTCAAGTCTCCATTTCATTTACTCAATCACACCTTGAACTCAACCTCTCTGTCTCCTTTGGCTCATTATCTGAAATACTATCCAAAATTTTATGGTCTTACTTGTTTAATTTCTGTTTTTATGGAGTGCTGATGACCTATTCAGAATACCCTATTTGGTCTGCCGCCCTTAAAATAAAAAAATTGGGAAAAAGAAACATTGCAAATGCAGACACCAGTCCTATAGGATTCACCTGATCACTGGTTAATTTCTAATGGTCTACTAGATAATCTAGTCTCAATAATTCTGTGGCAGAGTTCAACGAAAATCACAAGGTAAAGAAAATGAAAGTGCAAAGGGCCTAACAATAATTAAACAAGATAATTTACTTGTGGAAAACATGGTAGGGCTCTGACTGAGAATTTGTACTCAACTCTTAAGTTTGGACCAAAGGAGCCATGGCAGACATGTTATGGGGTTTTAGCTGTTGTTCTTTTAACAGCAGTTTAAGTGCCAAAACAAAGCAACAGACCATTTCAAAGTGCGGACGAACTCCCCCTCTGTTTGTTGTTATCCTCGTAAACAGACAAGCTGTTTCTTTTCATCTGCAGAGACTTACACAAGGAGAGAACCTCTATCCCAGGCACCACAGGATGTGTCTAGATAATGAGAGAACACTCAGAACAGCTCAAGCAGCAGCAGCAGCAGCAGCAGCAGCAGCAGCAGCAGCAGCAAGCTGGTGGTTATGAGCATTGGTGATTTGGTTCATGGTTGCAGTTAAGGATAGAAGAATCCTTAAAAAACACAAAGTGGATTCTCTACCCTTCATTTAAAAAGCCAGTAACTTTATCATTGATAAGGAAATAGGCACTTCTTACCCAAGTTGCTAAAACTCAAAAAAGGAGTTGGAGGTCCTGAAGAAAAAAATGGGGAATAGGTCACCTTAGATTATTAGATCTCTTTGGAAAGAATGGAAAAAAAATTCTAAGGGCCTGATAGAAGCATACAAAAGGGGCAAAGGGGAGGATGACTGATACTGATTTCAAATGCTCCATTTGGACCCAAAACCACAGCTCTGAAGGTTCTATGAAACCCCTTGCCTGAAATATTGTTTTGATAAATAAGCCATATCCTTGTGGAATAGAAATCTCCAACTGTTCTACTGGCACGGACATCTCTGCAGTGACAGCACATGCCACAGATTGTGGAGTTAACTCGAATTAAATTTCAGATGTGAGGGAGCTGGGGGAGGGGCTGGTGACAGTGGGCGGTTTATGAACTGTATGCTGTGGCTCTGATGTTGTCATAACCAGATGGTTTCAACTATCATTTAGAAAAAAAATAAACACCACCTAATAATAATAATAATAATACTAGTAACAGTAACAATAATAGGAAACCTATAAAGCAACTTCACCTGGGATACTTGGGTTATATTGATTCCTATGTAAAGCTCAAATTGGAATTCTCATAAACCTTGGATAATCCCAGAAGAAACACATCCTTCAGAGAGGCCCAGAATTGCAGCCTTCCAGAAGTTACACAGATTGCTGTTTACTCGCCCAAACCTCGTTTTTCAGTGAAGGAATAAGAAAGAAAATTCTAAACATGGTTTGTTCACCAGGAACCATCTAAGGTATCACAACACAGATTTATTCTTGCTATGCCCCTGCCCCCTACCCACCCCCACCCCTCCAGTGGAAAAAACTCCCCTATCTTGGGTTTCCCACCAAGAATGAAGCTTCCTTGGGTTAATTACTGAGTCTTGCAGCACTGGACTATCCCTGCCTCTGCCTCTTACTAGATGTGGGACCTTGGGCAAATCACTCCCATTCCTTATCTGTAAAACCTGGGATAACAATCCCTACTGTCCTGACCCTCTAGGAGGATCAAATAAGAAATTACACATGAAAGAACTTTGAAAACCTTACAGCACAATACAAATGCATTATTATTAGCTATGTAAGAGATGGTGTGGATAAATGCCAGCTACCTTGCTGGCTTGTCCTGTGTATCAACTTCAAAGGTTGGGGAGACGTGAAATTACAAGTCAGAGAACTTATAGTCTATTCCTTTACAAAGGTATTGTTAACAGAATGAGATCAGACTTGAGTTCTGATAGTGTGTGATAGAAGATTAGCAGATACCAAATCTTGCTCATGGTTATACTGATAATAGCCTATCTATTCAGGACTTTCCTCCTCTATATTGTCAGAGAGAGATTAAAATGTCCACTCTCACTTTTAGGTTAGAGTCTAACTAAACTGAATTAAATGAATGAGGTTAAGCTCAAAAAACTCCAGCTCCACCAGCCAGATGACAGCAAATGCATTTCTTAGCTTCAGTCCATCTGGGGTACTGCTGTGAATGGGGCAGCACAGGTGCCCACAAGTGCTCTGGCAGTGAAGCTCTTCTGAGAGCATGTCCTTAGTAGCACAATGACAGGGGTGCTAGTTCTTTCTATAGTCAGAGAAGGACCAACAGTGGAAAGGGCACCAACTCACCCTCAATTCAGTCACAGCATGTCACGGTACACTAGCTCAGTGATTCTGTGATTACAATCTCTTAATTGTTCCTTCTGTTTTGTTACTAAGTGAGGTCTGTAATTTCTGTAGTTCTGTATGATTCTGTAATTTGGTGTGGAGAGTGGACACAGCTCTTAGGACTTTCAGAGGGGACAGACTCTCTTACTCTCATTTCTACACTGGGCTCCAATCTTGGCAACCCTGAGGAGTAATTACCTAACATTTACCCTGAGGAGTGAAAGGGCAGCACTAAGGTGCAAGGGCAGGGGGCTGGCAGAGGTTGGCAGCTTGAACCGGTCATTTTGACCCTCTTTTCCATGAAAAGACATTGAGTCTGTGCTGCTCAGGCACTGAGATCAGAATCACTATTTTCAGTAGAACACCTGGAAGAATGGCATTGGTCAGATGTAGTTTTAGGAAGCCAACCAGACCTGGAAAGTCCTTTGAACAGGTGCCTCTGATCCAGAAGGCAGGCCAAGGAGTGGGAGGGGGGAAAAAAAGGAAAACCAGGGATACCACACAGTACAAAATAGTAATTATTTATATTTTCAAAAAGAAAAAAAATGACCATTTGGAAGTTCTCCCCATGGGAGGCAGGAAAGGAAAAGAACAGGACTGGCTCCTATGCAGGCGGCAAGTCAGGTAAAAAGAACTGAGCATTTCAGGACCAGAAATTTTTCATGCAGTATTAGTGAACAACTAACACGGCATATTAGTGTTTTTAGTGGGGTTTTTTCTTCCCACAGTGTTAGTGAACAACACTGCGTATTAGTGTTTTTAGAGTTTTATTCCACGCAGTGTTAGTGAACAATTAACACTGTGTTTTCAGTGTTTATTTCTTCCCCACGCAGTGTTAGTGAACAACTAACAATGTGTTAGTTTTCCCCCCACCCTTTTCAAAAAAGCGGGCTGGGGAGAAGGAGGAGGGAGAAATAAAATGAGAGAAAAATGCCAGAAAACATTTTCCACAATATCTAAAAACAGAAAACCACAGTTCTTGTCAAGAAAGTACAAGATAGGGATGAAGGATTGTTTTCCCCCAGTTCTTCAAAACCAATCAAGACTCTTTGCCAAGGGCGCCACGTCGGGTTCTTGTTTCCCGGACCAGAGGGCTTCCTCTCCTCCTCTCACCTTCACCGGTTCTTCTTTCCTCACAGAACGATAAAGGGTGTTTTCCGTTTTTGCAAACAACATATAAGTGCTAATAACAAGAGAGAACTGCTCTTCTGTTCACTGTATATGAGGGTAAGGCGTTTTTGTAAACGTCCCAGTTTTACCACAGTTGAAAGGACTAAAGTTTCTTTCTCTCAACATAAATACTACTGGAATCCTCCAGAAACGGCCTTTTGAGAAATTCCATCAAAAATTCTTTCCTCCTCTTCCTTTTTTCTTTCCCCTTCTCTTAAAAACTAAGCGTCCTTTTTTGTTTGTTTGTTTGTCTTTTTTATTCCAGGCACCTGACGATTTGATCTGTTCTGTGCTGTCAGATGCAGAGATGGGTTATACCCTAGTACCACTTCCGGATGTCTTCGTGGGATGTCAGCACCTAAACCAAATCCCTGGAGGATCGACTTGTCCAAGCTGAAGGGAACACACAGACAATGCAGCAACAGGGTTTTCGTTAGGATGAACTGCCCCGAGCCCCAGGCCCTCCCCTCCCCCTATGTCCCCTCAAGTTACTTGGTGCTGTTTTTAAAAGTCAGGGTATCATGAAATAGTCTTTTCCCCCATAATAGAGTAAAAGCTCCACAGACTGAGCTGTCTTTACGTAGTGGTCAAGGACGGCAAAGGTGCTGCTGCTTCTGGAAAAATTGGGTCCTGCAACAAGCAGAGGCCTTAGGATTGCTTCAGGCGCTTTCGTGGGGGCCCCAAGAAAGGGCACTGTGCTGAAGCCAGGGAGCGGTATGCCTCGGCCACCAAATGGGGGTGTGAAACCACCATGGACTTCCATCCAGAGGTCTCCATGACATCTGAAGCATGACTGGAAGAAACACAGACAGACCAGTTAATGGTGAAAAGAGAAGGCAAGCAAATTATGAAGTACGTATCTACCTCTGGCAACTTTTAAAAATGTCAAAAACAAAAAGATTTACAAGGTCTCACATATCTGGCTGATGTGAAGGTATTGCAACTGCACTTCGTAGTTTTGCTCACTACACTTTGTTCCATTTCTCTGAAATTCAGGTCTTTGGACAAGGACAGTAAGGCTATTCAAAGTTCCCAACGACCTCAAAGGTAAAGTCTGATGGCTTTTTTTCGGTCCTCAGACTTCCTGACTGTAGCATTTAACACTGTTAACTCTCTCTCCCCTGGATACTCTCTTGTGTCCAGATTTTTGTGAAACTTATCTTTCTTGAGTCTCTTCCTGTTTGGCATTTAAATCTCTTCACAACCCAGACTTACCTTTCCTACCTATTATACATTACTTCCTTGGACTATAGTCCAACCAAATTAGCCTTTTTGCTATTTCCTCACTTGTGATCACTCAGCTCCATTCTCCCTATCTTTTCAGTACCTGGAATTCATTCTCTCCTCACTTTTTCCTTTTACAATCACTCATTTCCTTCAGAACTCAGCTCAAACACCACCTTCTGCAGGTGACTGACTCCTCTCAGTTCCTAGTGCTCCTTCTCACCCCTCCCATTACCTAGCACTTACTTTGTATCCATTTTGCACATACTTCTTTATGTACATGCATAAAAAATGTAAGAAGTTCCTTGATGGACAAGAATTGTTTCATTTGTGTCTTTTTATCCCCAATCTCTAGCACAATAACTGGCACTTAATAAATGCTTACTGGTTGACATACTTTACAATCCTCTACTGAGTCAAAATCCAGACTTCCTCTCCTCCTGTCAATGAGTGACTTTTGAAAAAAATCTCATGGATTATCACAGAAACATATTTCTTTCTCTTCTAGGATTTCCAGAAATAGATGCTGATCACCCATATCTCTAGCAGGCTGATCAAGAAGTTTACTTTAAAGAACCCAACATATTTGGTCCAGAAAAGGCTAAATGCTAAGATCTTGAGACCAGAAATGTACGAGTTAATGAAGTTTATCTACTAAGGTAGCTAAGCCACTTTTGTTAAAATATGAAGTACTATTAAAGAAACTCTAACACATTTGTTCTTTTATCTTAAGTGAAAAAAATGACCTGACCATGAAATGCCCTGGTTTCACTGGCTCCTCTAGCAATGTGTCTCAGATCTGCCATACTCCTGAGTCCTGAAGCTCTACACTTTCTGCTTCTTGTCTCTGTCCCATCTCTGGGATAAAATGTCTCCTGAGTTTTCTCCTGAGATACACCCACTCAAGAGTAAGATACTGTTGCTCAGAGAAAACTGACATTCTCCAGGCACATTCATGTGCTTGATGGCCACTGCTAACTGGGATTATTTCATAGTCAGATAATTTTTTCACTTAGGATAAGAGAACAGATCTGGTGGAATCGACTGTTTCCACTTTGAAGAGCCCAATCTCCTGATTAGCCCAACCTTTTACCCCCATTTCACTGGTAGATAAATCTCATTAACTCATAATACACATTTCTGATCTCAGAAGATCTTCATAATTAAGTTTTACTGGACTGGATCTCAAAACTGAAGTAAGAAGTAAAAGAAGTACTTTCTGAAGATACAATGTTCTTTCAAGTCAGTAAGTTAAGAACAAATTAATATAGTTCCCTTTTAAAATTAATCAAAAACTTCAACTCACCAGAAAGACATACCCACAAAGGCAATACTATTTTCCATACTGCCAGCTGAAGAAATGCCTAAAATACACAAATCCCTACCTGCTACCTGAAGGGTTAATGAAGTCACCAGCACTGAGTTTTCCCTCATCAATCCCCCTCTCCCCATTCCCCCAAAAAAGTCCTAGAAGATGACAACTCACTAGTTGATGAAATCCACTGCCTGAGTTTTCAGCTGATCTGCACTGTGCAGGTCAGCAAGGATGAGAATCTCTGCTGCGTTCTCCACGGATAGGCTACTGCAGAGTGCGTCTTCACACATGACCTTTAAGCGCTCCAAGGCATACTGTGAGACACAAACACCACTATGGTCAGGGCAGTAATAGCTATGGGCAGAATGATTCTTAAGTTGCTTTTCTTGGCAGTACACCCTCCTCCAGACAGACCTCAGACTCCATTAGACACAGGGATAGAGTTGCACACACTGACATACCACAAAAAATACTGGTTCATTTACTCGTACCAGATTGGCACATTTCAAGGGTCAATTATTTAAGCTTTAAATGAGGGCATCCAAGAGGACTTTAAGTACCTGGCACACAAAGATTCTTATTTAGAAATTCATAGAAGTCTCTCTCCCCAAAATGTATCCTAGTCTCATCCACCCCCATGTAGCATATTGTATTGCTACTGTTTACACAGTTCAGAAGCAATTTCACTTTAAAACTTCAGCTACATACTGTTTTGGAACCAGAGGGAGATGAAATACGGTTTTATTCCACCACTTTCTTGCCCGGGTATTGTCATTAGTCCAAACGGGAAAAGGAATCCCATGGTGACTTTTTATCAGAACCTCTGCTATTAGCAATCTCATTCAAGGCCTTCTTTTGACTAGAAAAGGCTAAATGGAATCTCATTCTATTGGGGTTAAGGTTAAGATTCACAGGGTACATGGACAAAGCAGAAGAGACCCCCGCTCCCCAATCCTGGTTTCTAAACTCCCTACCATCTAAGTAAAAAGGTCTAAATGTCCCTGGATGTGGGAAGCTGGGTTGTGGCTGGGCACAAAATACACAATTTATCTGGATGGCTTCAATGCAACAGTGTTGTTCAGTTCCTAATGTGAGACTGTGACTTGACTTTGGGACTTTGTGAGGAAGAAACTAAGCCAGCATAACATAAATGTAATTCAACAGGATTCCCTGGTGGGCTGTTGTGCCATGGGGGCATGTAGAGGTTCCTTACAGGACCCATCTTTGGAGCTTCAGAATTCTATGGGGCAACATCCCTTCAGGCAATAAAAATGAGGCCAATTGTATTTTTATAAATTCTGGATGAGGAGGGCAAATCTGCTGGGCACTCTGATATCCAGGAGCAAAAAGAAAGAGACGAAGAGAGAAAGGTTTATTGGTTTTGGTGCTCCCTCAGTCTCTGCATTCGTGCAACTGGGAAAACAGTTTTAGTAAAAGAAGAATGACACCACATGAGAAAGTGGGATGAGATTTCTGCATTCAGAGGCTAGAACAGCTTGGGGGTGGGGGCTGGGGGTTGGCTCTCTACAGCTATGGGAGAATCTTCTTCCCATTCTTCCTCCATACATGTACTATAAGGACCTGTACTACGAATAGCTCTGATCCCAACTGCATAATTAGACACAAGTAGCCATTTTGGTCCCGGGGGGACTAAGTTTTTTTTCTTAATTATGCTTCTGAAAAACCTGCCTAATAGTGGTACTTACCCAAGAGATTGAAATTGTGTCTCCTGGGCCTGGCAGACGTGATGTGCTTTGTTTTTGGTCTAATTACACACATCCTCAGGGGATTGGAAAAGCTTGGAAGAAGCTGGTTTAGCCTCTTGGACAAACACAAGATGTTTTAGGTCTTCCATGAATGATTTCTTTTTCTGCTTTCCTTAAGCTCACAATGAAATTTTAAAGTAATATGCTGGGGCAAGACCCAAAAAGTTAGAACATTCTGAGTAGAACCTGAAAATTCTACCCTTTATCAGCTTCTCTTTCATGAATGGTAAGGGATGCTGAGATTCAATGACTTTTAACTGATTTTTTTAATACCAGTGAACATGTTGTGCTGACAATATCCTGCCTGGGAATAGCTGCAGAAGCTGTTCCCCTGTGGAGCTGCAATAGGTCAAAGGCAACATGGTTCCCTGGCTAAACAGCCAAAGAAAAACCCAGGGGCAGAGTTCTAATCTTGGCTCTACCAGTGGCATGTTGCACAATACTGGACAAGTGAGTTAAGTGTCTTGCAAGTCAGTATTTGTCTGTAAACTGAGATTACTGTCAACTTGTCTTATGAAATTTGGGGGAAAAATTATCCAATGACCGAAAAGTACCCAGGTGTGAAAGGACAGTCTTAGCTTCCAGTGGACGAATATCCATTAGATGACAAAAATCCCAGCAGAATAAATGAAAAGGGGATATAAGCTCAAAGACATTTTAAGCACAAGTCTATCTTTTACTTTTACATCTCTGCCTGTTGTATGTCTTCAGGACTTTCAAACCAACCAATGCCTAATAAATAGTTATGGATTGCTAATCATCACTGTGTCTTGGCAGAATGGAAGAAGCAATGAATTGGGAATCAGGAGATTTATAGTCTTAGCTCTGCAAAGGTCACTGTATAACCCTGGGTTAATCATATCCCCCCCTACTCTAAGCCCTCAGCTTCTTCATCTGTAAAATGAAGGAGGTGGACTAGACGGCCTGGAAAAGTCCCTTCCAGCTCTAACACTTTATGATTCTATGGTTCTTTGGAAAGCGGGTATCCTCAAGGAGGAAGAATAATTTGAGGAACCTACATAGCCTTATTCCCTTCAAAAGATTTTTTAAAATTAAAATTAAAATCTTTCTTTTGCTTTGTACTTAACAAACATCAAACATTTTCAGATAGACAGGAAGAACAGAAGAAGAGGACTGTACATGAAGCCACAAATCTCTATTATGTATAGCTTGTGTATTTCTAAAAGACTCAGAGGAAAATATCTTCAGTCTTGTCACACTAATTCTGATATCAGCATTAAATTACCTTATAAACAATGTTCCCACCCCACAAGAAGGCCCCCAATTCAACTAAACAAAGTTAACAAACACATCTGATTGAGAAATATACAAAATCTCCACCTGTAAACAGAAGTCACAGAGTGCTCTCCTCCATCCTCAGGAGGTGCAAAAGGAGGTGGAGGGAGACCAGGATGATGAGCAGATCCTAGGAAGGATCTTTTCCCTCTGATGAGTTCTGCAGCATCAGAGCAGGAAGAGAAAAATGCTTTCAACAGAAAAATCGCCTTTCTCCACCAACGAGGTCTAATACTGCAGTTACACGAATCCTCCCAGCACACTTCCCTTAAATTTCTCCATAAGCAGAATTATTTTCAAGATGGCAAACACCAAATAACAAGCAAAGAGCCATTCTTTGTTTCCTCACCAGCCGCTGCTCCTGGAATCCTGCTTTCACAAACTACTAGGTGGTATTGTGGGAGAGGTTCAAGGAGCACCCCTTGGTGCACTCAGGATGCCCTGGATTATTTGGCAAATATTTCAACTTAACCACTTGAGAAAAACCGGAAATGCCAACTAAGAAACAAATTGAAAAAGGATCATTCTTTATCTTTCCCTCCCCCTTTTGAGGTTTTTCCTAGATAGTTAATTTCACAGCAGGCGATTGGTTCATTACATTAAGATGACATGGATCAGTTTGGGAAATGGAGGGAGAGCAGGAAAAGTAGGGGTCATCAAACTCATATTTCTTTCCTAACAGTGCAAAATAGAGGCGTGCCAGGAAATCAGAGCACACCGTGAGCCTCTAAGATGCCGGCCTCACCTTGTCTGCAGCTGCCAGAAGATCATCAGCCATTTTGTCGAGGTTGGGGGCCTTGCCAGTATAAATGAAGCACATCATTTCCTTAAAAACTTCTGGCTCCACATCATTGATTTCTACCCGGTTCTACACCCAAAAAGAGAAAAATTTCAAAAGAACAATTTATCATCTACTTTTATTATTAATTTTAAGTTCCAAGAGAGATTTATAATATTAAAATACTTACTAGAAGGATTATAATGGGTTAGGGAAAATGTGTTGTGTCCTATTTAAATCTAATGCCCCTTCTTCCCTACATGTATCCCTTAGTACTCTCTGAAACATAATGAACAGCAAAATAACTTGTAAAGTGGTTCCCAGATAACCTTTAAGAAGGGCCAGATCCCAATTACTATGTATGGATCGTTTAACAAATTTTAATGTATTTCAATGCTTTAAGAACCTGTGATTTAATTCCTTCTTTCCACCGAGGCAGATCACAATTTCCTGAGTAGCTGTGGCCAAAAATAGCTTGGCTCTGTCCAACTTCCCAGGAGAAGAGCCTCTCTGAAGTTAGCTTGGCTGATACTTAGAAGACAGGCACAATCTATTCCTGGGCACATAATCTAAGTCTTCCCAGTTTCATAGGGGCGTACTACAGTGGCACAGGCTTGGAAAACATTGGGTCACCTCACACCATAATGACAAGGTGAACTCTGATGGAGGAATTTTTATATTAAGCTAACTGAAACAGAATTAGGAAGGTAAACCTCTTGCATTTCTAAATCAAATATCAATAGACCCTGGATTATCTATCATTTTATGTCATCCACAACAGTTTCCCTCTATTGGCAAGGATAATTGAAAGCTGATAGCAGGTGACCTGAGATTTAGAAACCTATCTAAATAGATGCTTTCACATTTCATCAGGCACATACCTTTTTGCTCTCTTCCATCTCATGCTCAAACATGGCACTGAAAACAGGAGAACGGGCTATGGTAAAGTAGAATAGAAACACAGAGTTAACTTATAACCACTGAAATGCTTTATCCTACCCAGTGATGACAAAACATGTAATCTGCTTCCTGTGTTACTGCCAAAGAAAAGGGACTAAGAAAAGTTACCAGCAGTCTCAGCCTCAAACATGACCAAAGCTGCCTTGGAAAGGTGGTGGGTAAAGTGTAGTGCATAAGACCTGGATTCCAACAAGCTTGTGATTTAGGGCAACTCATTTGATCTTTCTGAACCTGTTTCTGCCATAAAATGATGGGAATGGAGCACATGATTTTCTATAATGTTATTATGATTCTGTTAACAATCTCTCACCGTAACCTCAAAAATTAAAAGTTTCATAAACAAACATTTATTAAGTTTCTATTGTATACAGGAATAGTGCCAGGCTCTGGGAAGATACAAAATTTACATATTCAAGGTCTCTGCACTCAAGAAGCTTATAGTCTAGAACTTTTTTGTGTGTCCTGGACCCCTTTGGCAGGCTATGGAGGTCTTCTCAGAATAATTTTGTTAAGCGCATAAAATACATAAGATTGCAAAGGAAACCATAGAAGGGCGTTATCAGAAAGCATTTTTTTAGAAGTTCATGCACACTAGGTTAAGAACCCATTACAGCAGATTCAAATAACTAATGGAACTGGTATCAATATACTGCTTTGTGTTTTTACAAAAAAAAATCAAAATCAAATATTTATTAAACTCTACTGTGTATGCAAAGTACCATAGTTCTGAAAAACTTTAAAAATGTTTTGATATCAAATCTGCTCCTACTACATGTGCTTCTAGAACCTCCCAAAGGCCTAAAAACCATTTTCTTCATCTTCACTTCAGAAAGTGGGAGTCTGGTTCATGGCAGCGGTATAAATAAAGAAGTGGAATTTCTGGCATTGTCAGCACTAAAGAAGAAACTACTTGGTCATCTTTAGAGTGAATGAGCTACTTAGCCATGGGAACAATTCAATTCAATTCAACAAGCATTTATTTAAATGTATGAGGCACTGGAATGGACTAAGTGCCAAACAAAAGATAGTCTCTGCCATCAAAAAACTCCCATTTCAGGGCAGAAAAAAATACAACACTTACACAGATAAGTAAATTTAAGATACTTTGAGAAGGAAGAGACACTAACAATGAGAGGATTCAGGAAAGGCTTCTTCTCCTAGTGGTACCTAGGTTGATCTCTGAAGGAAGTTAAGGAATCTAAGAGATGGAGGGTGACCCATGGTGTAAAAATATATTTGGTCACAGATTCCTCAAACTACAGTCATCTTTGATTCCTCCTTCTCCCTCACATTCTATCAAATCCTATTCTAGTCTACCCCTTCAATCTCACTCCAATCATCCCCCTTCTCCCTCATCCCACTGTAACCTCTTTGTGTATACAGGTTCTTATTATCTCTTGCCTGGATCACCGCAACAGACTCCTAAAAGGAATGACTCAATTCCCTCCCTGCTCCAACCCATCTGGGTAAGCATTGACCATAATTAATCTTTTCAATTCACAAGTCTGAGGAGATCACAGCCAAAACCTTCAGTAGCTTATAGCCTGTCTTATAGAGGGGAATCCTAGACCAACAAATCAGTCCAGCCATTCTGGAAAGCACATTGAAACTAGGCTCAAAAAGTTACTAATACTAGACTCATCCATATTTCAAGGTGATCAAATAAAGAGAAAAAGGAGTCGTATGTACAAAAATATTTAGAGCAGCAATCTTTGTAGTAACCACAAATTGGATACTAAGGGTGTGTGTGTGTGTGTGTGTGTGTGTGTGTGTGTGTTTGTTTGAGCATGCACGCGAGCACCCATTTGTTGGGGAATGGCTAAACAAGCTATATAGTATATGTAGGTAAGGGAATTTATGGTGCCATAAGAAATGATGAAATGGACAGCTTTAAAGGAAACTGGGAAACTTTAGAGAGAAAGACAACTTTGGAAGACTTTAGAACTCTGATTAATATAATCATAAATGTGTCCAGAAGACTAAAGATAAATCAAGCTACCCACCCTCCTGCCAGAGAGGTGAAAAGACTTAAAATCCAGAATTAGACCTATATTTTTAGACATGGCCAGTGTGGGAATTTGTTTTGTTGGACTACATGGTTTTGTTTTGCTTTTAAATTGTTCAATATGAAAAAAAAATAAAAGAAAAAAATAAATTTCTCAATATGGTGAGGGGTGGGAGAGATGATAAATGTTACTAAAAACAAATACACAAATGAATATAGTACATTTTCTTTAAATATCAGAGATTCATAGCATATCAGAATTGGAATAAACCTTAACAACTGTCTAGGTTTAACCATGTTGTATTAAGATGAGAAAAAAAGAAGCCTTCACAGATATTCAGTGACTTACATAACAGGTCATAAAGTAAATGGTACAAATTCATCTACTTGCCCTTTCCCAAGTCAGTGCATGCTTCCCATCTCCAGGCCTTTTCTCATGCTGTTTGTTGTCTTCCTGGAAGGCTGTACTGCCACCTACTCACCCTTCCAAGGCTCAGCTCACATGTCAAGGCTTTCCTGATGACCCTGCTTTGCTTTCAACCAGCAAAAACAGGACCTCCTTTCCTGTGAATTCCTGAAGTACTGTATTTGTGCATCACCTCCACTTTCCCACTCTGCTGTGTTTGTCTATGTCTTGTTTTCTATCCCTACCACCTCATCCCCTCCCCTCCCTTATCAGCACTAGGTCCTTGAAGGAAGGGCCTATAACTTATTCATCTCTATATTACCCTTGGTGCTTAGTACACTTCCCTGTACACAGCAGACGTTAAATAAATGCTTCTTAAAGTCAATTACAAAAGTTGGAGGATACCTGGCCACTCTCAAGATCTTACCTTGTAACTAAAGCTCACCCCTGGAATTAATACCAACCTGCTAAGATAGCTTTGTGAGCCTGGAACTCTTGGCCAGCAACACACAAGCAGCAATCTGTGAAGCGGGAATTTTCCCAGAGTCCTCCCAACTCATCTGCCAACCGGCACTCAGGGACTTTCACCATATTCATGGTATTCTGGCCAGAAATGTTGACTGAATCCTGTACCACACTCACCTGTGAAAGGCAGGAAATGTATATCAAAGCTTTTTCCATTAGTTTTTTTTTTTTTGGAGAAAGGGGAGATATAAAGGTCTTGCCAATTACCCCCCCCCCCAAGTTTCTGTACTGCAATTAGATGATAATATGGACTAGTCGTATTCTTCTAAAATCAGCCCTACCTCACCTTTTTGAATCAAATAATTTCAAAAACAAATTTAACTCTTCTTTTTCCTCTCTTGGGACAGTGCCTTCTCCCTCTATTTCCTAACCTGAATTGTTCATACTGCTCAGAAATTTAATCTTAGCCAACACCCTTTCTCTCATTGGCCTGGTAAGTACTGCAAAGAATCCCAGGGGGGAAAAAGGCAGACATGATAGGAAAAAAAATAGCACCCACCATATTCTGCCTTGAGCAAGCACCAAGAGCTTCCGCAAAGTCTACTGCTTGAATCAGATGCCTTAGCAGAATTTAGCCTAATTTCTTAACCTAAAAGCACATTGCCCCAAAGATACTCTATTTAATTCAGGGTATAGAACAAGGAAAATAAAATGTGCCATCTTCCATATATGAAGCTGACATTACAGACACATAATCTGTAGGGCAAGTGCTTTGAAGCTGTTTTTTCCATTAAAGGTAAGGTAATGTATTATGCCAAGCCATTATCACTCTCTTGCTTAGTACCCCATGGGACCAAATAGTACACCCGTGCAAGATGGCTGACTGGAATAATATAAAAGTAACTAGCTCATAGTAAAATCAAGATCAGGACCATGGCCTATAATTAACAGTATGCTTTAAACCAGTAAGCTAACTGGACACAGACAAAAAGGCAAGGGTATTTTCTCTAAGGTGAGTCAAAGAAATTTTGGTAGATCGTTTAGCATACAAAAACAAGAAACAGACCCACCTCACTGCTTGTTAAAATGCAAGTTAGTGCACCTACAGTCCCATCTTCTGCAAGAAGCTTTTCCATCCCCTTAATGCTGGTGCCTTTGTTCTGTTGATTATTCCCACTTTATCCTGTCTATGGCTTGTGTGTACACAATGGTCTGCATGTTTTCTCCCCCAAAAGCCAGAAGCTCTTTGAGAGCAAGGACTTTCTTTTGCCCTTCTATATCTCCCCAGCACTTAGCCAAGTGCCTGGTACATAATAAATGTACATAAACAGTACATAAATGCCAGTTGACTGGCTGACTATAGGCACTAAGGCTTTGCAGTTACATTCTCTGTCAAAAGTCAGCGTCCAACTTTACCTCCTATACCAAAAGGTAGTAAGTACAATCATCACCATTTAAAGAGATGAGAAAATAGACACTATAAGATGAAGCTACTTGCTAAAAGTCGTCCTGTTTAAGTGAAAAAAGAATCTGAAGTATAATTTCTAGTTTCCCACTTTTTTTCTTTTGATAGAGCTCGATGGGAAAGACAGCTCAGGGACAACCCCAATACCCAACTTGCTTTTTAAAATCAAGATTTAAGTCATCCACTGAAGGCTGCTGTAAACCCAGAGGCAAAATTAATGCTTCATCCAACTCACCCTTAGTCTCTTCTGTGCAGGAGAGGGATATGTACTGTCATGTCTGGAAATTTATTCATTTGTTTTAAACTAGCCATTATGGTCTTGGGCAGTGAGGCAGCCAAGTTGATAAATTATGGATGTGCTTAGCAGCACATTAATCAGAAAAGATTATAGCAATATTTTGATAGCCAGGGGTATAGTTAAATCCACCCCATGGAGACTTCCCTCTTGACCTGTGCATAATCATGGTAACAGTTCTTGTCCCTTGCCATTAAATGCCAAACACAATGTCTGTTTCCAGTTACAGCACCAAAACACTGATGACCAAAGAATGGATTGAAAAAATCAATTAAACCAAACTTCTACACAAGGAGGGGTAGAGGCCTTATGGGACTAAGGACAAAAAGACTAGAGATCTGGTACTGGATTGTCAGCTTAAATTAAACTAGGTTGAGAGCAACTCACGGTCATTAACACTTGATAGCATTTAATAGACTGAGTGAAATGAACTGAGGAAGTCACCACTGAATTTTACACAACCAGACATAGTCAAAACTGATTTGTAATTTTGACACCTAAACTAGATTTGTTTGTTCTATAGATACTTAGAAAGCTACAAGCACCAGGGCTCTCAGGTTTGGCACCTTTTGCTATCACTAAATACACTTAAATAAAAATAAATTTTAAATGGTATTTAACAAATGAGTCTTGAGAGTCCAAACTTTTAATATTAAAAAGCATCTTTATATTTTGCAAATGATATTAAAAAAAGGCAATTTGGGGGTAAAACAAAGATTTTTTCCATTGCCCATAAAACTGACTAGAGAGACTCATTCAGAACTGCAGCCGTAAACCTGACACAAATGTGACATTTCTTTCTTATAAATGGCTTCATGAAGACATCTCACTTAGGCTATGTAAACCTAAATTTAAAGTTGTAAGAGCTTCTTTTTTAAAAATACATTCCTTTTTCTAAATAAAATCAGTTTTCATTAAAGAGCATACAGAGTCTACCACATTGAAAAATCTTTTTCTTGAGTTATAGGAATTTAAAGTTAAATAGCAAAGTTAAATTTTGTCTAATATCTGTGTATTTAAATACAATCTAGAGAAACAAAATGGGCAATCCACTTATTTCAAATTTGGCCAGAATAATCTTGGGCCAAGATTAAGAAGGGATACGGTATGTCTGAAGCCAGAAGGAATGTTTTAAAAAAGTTTAAAAGCCCCTGGGAATAAAATAATGGTCAAATCAATCTTAATCACAACACTGCAAAGTTGGTATTGAAACATCCTATTTCAAAGACACAAACCCAGTAGATGGAAAATATGTATCTTCATTGCTAATAGCTGCTTGTTTTCAAAATTAAAAAGCTCATTTTAGGAGAGACATTGGTCAACACAAGTAAAAATATTCAGGAGTCAAACCAAGTTCTTACCTCTACTTTTATTTTTTTATTTTTTTTTTAGGCAATTGGGGTTAAGTGACTTGCCCCGGGTCACACAGCTAGTAAGTGTCAAGTGTTTGGTCTGAGGCCAGATTTGAACTCAGGTCCTCCTGACTTCAGGGTGGGTGCTCTATCCACTGCACCACCTAGCTGCTCCATACCTCTATTTTTTAAGGTTCAAAATGAAAAACTTACTGGGGGAATAGTTATGAAAATATATAATGAGTGGAATGGATTACTGTCAAATAAGAAACAACAAATACAATTAATAAAGAGAAGTTTTTGGGGGGGGGGGACTTACTAGAACTGATAGAAAATGAAATAGAACCAGGAAGCCAATATTCATGACTACAACAATGGAAATGGAAAGAACAGAAGCAACAAAACAATCAAAAGATGTGAAATTATAATGACCAAGCTCCCACCCAAAGAAGGCACTGTCCCTAGCTTCTTTGCAGCACTGATAGAACTATCGATTTGAAACACTATACATAAGGTTATATATGTTTTTTAGTTTTGCTCAACTTTTAAAAAATTTTTTCCTCTTTTTTTAGCCTTCATTATGGGAAATGTAGATGTCAGGAAAACAAAAAAAAAATCCAAATAAATTTTAATTAAAAAAATGCAAATGGAAGGTACTTATTTCTCTCCCTCATTCTCCCAAAGCCAATCACCATTAACTTTGTCTTTCCCCTCACACACAGTACCATCTCCATTCCCTTTCATGGAATGAAACTTTGTTTTAAAAAAAACTAGGAGGCTTACGAGTTCTAATCACAGCTCCACTACACTGATTTTTGGTGTGATGTTCAGCAAACTGACTTCTTCAGGCACCAGTTTTCTCGCCCATAAAACAAGAGGAACTGAACTCTCAAGGTTCTAGGGATCAAGAGTGACCCTTAGAATGCTATATGAATGCTTATGATAATTAAATGGACTATAACAAGTTAAATGAGGGGAGGGCATACTCAGAATCACTGCATTTCCTCACACAGAAGGAATGATTTTTGACTTAATCACCAAAAGTGGAATCTGTACTATCCATTTACATGCAAAGATTGCTCCCATGCCTTAAGATTTTATGATTTATCTAAACATTCATTAAAATAACACCACTACAAATATCCCAAAATGTACAAACAAAAGTGATCAATTTTCTCAGTCTTTCACCTTGGAGATTTCTCTGGTGGATTCTAGATGTGACAAAGTCACCATGAAGGCAATTGCATTATACCACAATAAACCAGTAGTCTGTAAACCAGAGACAGGAACAAAGCAGTAAACTGGCAATGGGGGCATTAAGTATTCAGTGCGAATTTGCATGAGTATTACATCCATCAAGGGCCATCAAATAGAAATTAAATGTGAATATGAATAAACGTTATAATAAAAATTCCATGTAAGGTAGGAAACAGCAATGATCAGGGAGTTAGAATTTAAACCCAAGGATGAACACACCATGAAAAAGTGTTACAAACTAGGATCAAAGGATTCAGAGTCAGAAGGGACCTTAAAGGTCATCTAGTCCAATCTCCTCACTGTACAGGTAAGATGAGCTACAGATTTTTTTTAAACACACAGACACAAACACACACACTCCATGCAACTGTCTTGCAATGATGAATGTTATAAAGTCCACAGAGAGCTTTGGAACAGGAAACAAGTCTCACTGGGCACAAGTCCAAAAGTAAGAAACAGAGCTCTGCACCTGTGGCCAACTAAGAAGTGTGAGAGGAACATATGGCACACCTGGTTTGATGGGAAGAAACTGATGGCGTCAGCAGAATCCAGCAGACGCTTCCCAGCTCAACATCTTCCAACTCCCAAAGTGTAATCTCACCTCCCTCTCAAGTTAGCAAGGCAAAGCTAAACTTAACCACAAGGCTTCTCCTCCTGAGGGAATCTCATATGGAAAAGTGAGGGCAAAGAGGACTGGAGAACAGCCATGGACTCAACAGCAGAAAAATAGGCAGCCACGTGAGGACCAAGGCAAACTGGCTTCCAAATGAAGACTGTCAACACAAGGCAGGCTGAAGCAGCTGGAATAGGTTGAGGAAAAAATGGGAAGAGGCTGAACCTACGAATGGGGAGAGAAATTGTGCTATTCCACTGTGAAATTCTAGAATGTTGCAATAAAGGCTGTGGCATTGTCTAAAATGCCAATAAAAAAAAATGGAGTTGACACTTAGAGGATTGTTTCTTTTCCTTAAGAAAACAAAGGCTTCAGTGACTTCCTTTCATTTCCAGTAGGAATTAAGCTTTTCTACCTTTTCTAGTCACTTTTGAAATAAAAAGCTCCAAGATAGGCAAAGACTGTTCTTAGGGTAGTTTCTTTGCATTAGATTGTGTAACCACACAAAATTGAAAGCCTGAGCATAGTTTTTGTTTTTTAAAATAGCATCTAACCCCACACTAAACTACCTGATTGTTCCTCCACTTCCTCCTTCTGGCTGACTGAGTGTCATCTGTGACCAGTTGGACCTACGTGGAATTCAACTTTCAAAAATCATCAGATACAGAGCAATTTCCACACTCTCCACAGTTAGACACCCACCCCCCCAACGGACTGTCTCCCCTTTGCCCCAGCAATAAAAGGAAGAGGAAGCAGCTAACCCACAAAACCACATTTTATATAAGCAGCATGGTATTAAAAAACATTTTTTCCCCAAATTTTATACTGGACACCAAATTTTCCATAGAGGCACAGGAAAAGCTGTGACATGGAAAACAAAACAGGTACTGCCACTTTGATCTCTGCTGCTCATATAGATCCCTAGAGGCAAGGATTCCTTACCTGTTGATCAGATGGGAGCATTAATTCAATAAAAATAACTAACATTTATACAGAGCTTATCTCAAGATAGGGGTTATTATCTCCATTTTACAGATGAAGAAACTGAGGCAGACAGCAGTTAAAGTGACTTGCCCAGGGTCACACAGCTAGTAAGTGTCTGAGGCTGGATTTGAACTCAGGTCTTCTTGACTCCAGGGCCAGCTCTCTATCCACTGTGTGCCAAAAGTTGTCTCTAGCTGAAGATTGGATCTTGCCACTGTACATTTCTTATGAATAGTTGGGAAACTGTCTGCATATAAGCTATCATCATCAAGGTGTCACAGCAGCTTGACACTACTAAGAAAGTGGCTCTCAGACCATATGATGGGGAAAACAAAGCATTGAAGTTAAGGACTCCTCCCCTCCTTACACTTTCCTAGCAGATGACAGCTGGTATCTCTTAGCACAGGTTAAGCATAGGTCTAGAGCATCTCTTCTATCAGTACATTTCTTACCTTCCCACCTTACAGATGTTCCTAAACAGCATAAATTATAAGTACTCAGATCCTGACTAGAAGCAAATCGGAGTACTTATTGTCAGTGACAGCCCTTCAAAAGGATGCCTACAAAGGCCTTCAATGGAGAAGCTCCAGGATCCCGAGGTAAAAAATATAGCCTTTACAAATACCAAGAAAGCCCCTGCATTTAAATCTTGTAAGAAAGGACATTTCAGTTCAGGAGCTTTGAAAATCATGAAAGGCAGCTTTCAGCTGACCCCACAAACCAGGGTTTATAAGATCACAGAGCAAGAGTATAATTTAGTGATCATCTAATCCAATGTCCTCATTTTAAAGATGGGCAAACTGAGGCCCAGAGAGGTGAAGTGACTTGCCCAAGGTCACACAGGTCGTAAAGAGCAGAGCAGAAATCTGAACCCAGATCCTCTCATTCCAAATCTAATTTGTGCATGGCATTGCTTTTTAAGGGCTCCCCCCCTGCTTTCCTCCCTAGTTCAAAACAAGTGGATTCCCCAGCATTCCAGCCAGCTCGAGGAATGGCCAGCCTCGCAGAAGGATCAGTGAACTTACTTCACAAAAGAGTGTGAGTTTATCATCAGGAAGGAGACCATTGGCCTCATCCAAAAGAAAGTCTCTACGGATGAACTTCTTGAATCCCCAGTCCTTGCCTTGTACAAATCGATATGCTCTCTGGCTCTCTACAAAAAGACATCAATAAAATGATTTAAAAATACAGTCTGAAGTCACAACTGGACAGCAGAGGGAGTCATTATGGGCCAAAGCACTGAGACAACCCAAGAAGAGCAGACTTACCCATTGCCTTTGTTTCTTCCCCTTTGGCATTCAGGATGGAGAATTTGAACTTTGCCCTAACTTCACTCTTCGGACAGCTGACCAATAACAGGTATAGTGACAAGTAATCTTTGCTTTCTTCATCTAGCCCTTTTGGATTCACCCGCAAACACCTACCCAGAACAACCAAGATATGAATGAAGTTAAAAGTGGCTGTGTTCTCATGGCTTGGGTCTCAAGTAGTAATGTAGAACATTCTCTGGAGGACCATAGCTCACCTATTCATTTATTAATAAAATACACGGGGGGTATTTTAGATTGACCTAATTTTCACTTGGTATATTAATTTTTCCTTTTCCTTTTTTCATAACCCTTCAAATCACTTATTTCTCCTCTTTTTTCTAACTAAATATTCTAATTGTTTTAGGTCAGTTAACCTTTTTCTATCCAAGTCCTCAATCCTTTGGAGCGCTACTAGCTAACTACTGGTGCATGACCTCAGCTGGTGGAAAGAGTGCTGGCCTTGGAGTCACGAAAACCTAGATTCAGGTACTATCTCTCTCTGACAACATCTACCAGCCATGTGACCATGTGGGCAAGTTATTTAACCTCTCAGTGTTGTTTGTTGTTTTTATTGTTAGGCAGTTGGGGTTAAGTGACTTGCCCAGGGTCACACAGCTAGTAAGTGTCAAGTGTTTGGTTTGAGGCTGGATTTGAACTCAGGTCCTCCTGACTTCAAGGCTGGTCCTCTATGCACTGTGCCACCTAGCTGCCCCCAACCTCTCTCACTCCCACAAAAAACAAACAAAACCAAAAGCACATTTTAGCTGAGCTCTTGATGTAAAACCAGCAATTCTTCTCTTTTGCAAATTCTGTATCTAGGAACTATTCCTTTCCCCCAATGACAATTTCAAACTTTTTCTCTGTTCTCTTACAACCAATTGTGCCTTCATTCCACCAGCAGCAGCACCACCACATTCTTAGAAGATGACAGCCTATATTTCACTGAGAAGACTGAAGCCAACTGACTGATGGCTTCCTCAGGTCCCTTTCTCTACTCCTCAAACATTGTCAGCATGATCACTTTCTCTTTTATTCTCTTTCTTCCCTCTGGCCACAGATGGGATATCCCTAATTCTCACCTAGGCTAAACTCTACTTGAAGCCTAACCCTATACCCCAATTCCAATTCTTTCTACCTTGCTCTGTAGTCAACTCCTCTCTCATTTGTCTCCATTTTTTCCCAGAGGTAGTCCTTCATTTATCTAAACATGTTTGGGTCTACTTAATCTTTAAAAACAACACAAAACACCTTCCCTTGACCTTTCTAATCCCTCTTCATTGCTACATTATTTTTAAAAAGTTGTCTATACCTGATACTTCCACTTTCTTCATATTCACTCTTCTCAATCCCCTGTAATCAGGCTTTTGACCACATAAATTCTAACAAAATTGCTCTAAGGTCATCAATGATGACCTAGTCACCAAATTCAATGGCCTTTTTTTCAGTCATCCTTAGCCCTCTCTCTTCAGCTTCTAACACTAAAGACCATCTCCCTTGTACTGGATACTTTCTTCTTCTACAGCTTCAAAGAAGCAGCAATTCTATTTTGCGAACTGTTTATCTGTGAACTACTCCTTCCCTATGACTATTTCAAACTTTTCTTCTCTTCTCTTATAACCAGTTGTAACCCCAGTGACTTTTCTGCTCTCTCCTGCTTTTCCTCCTACCTAATTTCTCCTTTGCTGACACCTCTTCCCTTTCATCACCACTTAATATAGAGGTGCTTCCCAAGGGGGTCTGTCTTTGAACTTCTCTCACTATGTATGAATCTCAGTCATTTCTTATGGCTTAACTATATCACCTCTATATAGAAGACTCTGAACTCACTTTCTCTCTCTAGTCCTAACTTCTTTTCTGAGCTAGAGAACATCAGAACACCTGTTGCATCACCAACTGCTGCATCTTGTCTTGAACTCTGGTCTTCCTGAATTAATCTCTTTCTGTTGTAGTGCCTGTTTTCTAGTGCTTGTAACCTTGAGGCCATCTTAGATTCTTCCTTCATCCCTTTACTACTTTTTTTTGGGGGGGCAATTGGGGTTAAGTGACTCGCCCAGGGTCACACAGCTAGTAAGTGTCAAGTGTTTGGTCTGAGGCCAGATTTGAACTCAGGTCCTCCTGACTTCAGGGCTGGTGCTCTATCCACTGCGCCACCTAGCTGCCCCCATCCCTTTACTTCTCAAATATAATTAGGTGGTGACATTCCACCCCTCTCCAAAACACTCACATCTGTCCCCTCCTCTCTGCTCCCAATACTAGCACCCTAGCGCAGACCATCATTACTACCCTTCTCTAATTCACCTTTCATATCATTGCCAGGATCCTTCTTATGCAGAGATCTGTCATGCCAATCCTCTCCTCAAAGCTTTTCTGGTTCAAGGTCACAACCTGGTTTCACGCTTCCTTTCCAGCTTTATCTCTCATTATTGCCTTCCACATGCTCAAGCCAAAAGGAGCAACTTTCCCCACTTTGAACATTCATTATGCCTTCCTGCTTTTGCTAAGGCTGTTCCTTGAGCCTGGAATCCTCTCCCTTCCCATTTTGGCCAGTTGAATTACCAACATTTATTTAAAGACTTCTGGGAAGTCTTCCGTGATTCTCTCTAGTAGATCTGATCATTTCATTTTTAGGTCACTTCATCTTGTATCTAATGCACTTATGTAATAACATGTATTACAGCTATTTTTGTTTACTGGTTTCCTACTCTGCCCCTACCAACCCCCCATTGTTAAGACCTATGTTTTATCTAAACATTTGTCCCAATACCTGGCAGTGTTCTGTACACACAGCAAGGGCTTAATAAATGGGTTGGGGTTTAGTTGGTTTTTTTGGGGTGGGTTTGGGCAGGAGATAGCAAAAATCCCTCTTTTAGATAAATATATCAAACGTGCAATGATTTGACAGAAATTGACCAAATCTGGTCATGAAGGATTTTTTTTTTCTTAAGAATGAGTTATTTAGAGTTTTTTTTTTTAAAGAGTTTTTTGAGGTGGGAGGGGTGGGGAAGGTAATTCAGACAAAGGCAAAATTACCACATTTCCCTTGAAAATGATTTTATAGATATAATTTCTAACTGGATTTACAAAGACAGCTAGTGATGCAAATCCGTAGATAAATTAAAACAAAGATTATATGGAGAATTATATACTGACGGGGTTCTATCAAAAGTGTAAATGTCACAAGTTGAATCCACAGCATGTGGACTCAGATGCTACTCCTGCCACATTCAATCTACAAGCCATATGTACCCTCTAGGCCAAGCCAGAGTTATGGCACCTCTTCCTGGCCAGGAGCCTAACCCTATGTCTCTCTTCACAGCAAGTGTACGCTACCCAAATCATTAGCACATACTTTGCCAGAGCATGAATATGAATAAAATGCCAAGGACCAAACATTTCTCTAAGCACTTTATACAGTCCTATGCACACAGTAGGTACTCAGTGAAGACTTTTTAAAGACTGCATTCTCCTGTATCTGTGTTGGATAAACTCTAATACTGGACAAGCTGGAAACACTTCTTCTAAGTTTCATTATGCTGAATGTGTTCCTTACCATTTTAGTTTATCATTGGCTCCTGATGAAAAGGTTGAACTTTTAATGACCTCACCCATTTCTTCCCGACAGAAGCTAAAGTTATTGATGGTCCACATGTAGGAGAATTTCACTACCTTGATCTATAAGAAAGTCAGAAAGCAACTCAGTGAAGAATAGTCAACCACAAAAAAGCAGGGAGAAGCTCAGATCTTCCCTCCTTCCCCTGTGTTTAATGCCAACTTCAAAGTAGCACGGTTTGGTGAATGAGGGAAGGTAAGCAGGGACAAGGGCAGTCTCAACATGCAAAGAACATCTTGCAATCACTTTCACAACTTTTTTTCAAGAATACCTGAAACACTTGTTTGAAAGTGAGGAAAACATTGAGGCAAAAGAATGAAGTAAATGAAGTATCCATTAACCTCTCTTTGCCTTCTCTCCAAACAGTTTGTGCTACTTGTGATTTTGGAACCAAGTTTAGAACATTCAGGCAGGTTCTACTGTGTGACACAATGGTCTGGAAGGTTGAAAAGACCATGGCTACAGGCATATTTTCCTATTGTAGGTTGCCATCTCCTGGCATGATCCCTCCCTTTAAGAATATAAAAGTTAAACCTCAGGGTATAAAAGAATTTCACATTTCTGACTTCCAAAAATCCTCTAAGATTAATATATAAAAAAATTAACTTACCTGTGTGTAGCACCAGCTCTCAGCTACAGGGCCACTCGACATTTCTGCCGGAGGAGGAGGACTCGGGACCCTTGACATCGCCAGTTTGAAGGTTAAACTCAATTTCCAAGTTTAGAAGAAAAAAAAAAAACCCTTTCTATTTAGTCTTCACCCTGTCAATCCCAAAGAACAAGAGGACTTTGGTTAGAACTCCAGGGATACTTATTATCTGTCTTATAAGCTTGAGAGCAGGAAAATTATTTTTGAATTAAACTTTAGATCTCTCTCTCTAACCCTTATTTAAATACCATACATATGCTAGAGATACAAAAAGAACATTAAACATTTAATTTACACCAATAAAAAAGGTGTCTTTTAAAGAGGTGATAACAAATGTTTTCACACTAAGAAGTTAATGAGATACTCACTAAATAACACTGATCCTGAAAAGCACTAACCACCATATTAAGTGTATAGATACCATATACCCACTTCCATCTGAGGTTAAATATCTAATGAGGCTAAATATCACTTCTCAGGGCTTCATTTTCCCATTCAAACTGTTTGCTTTTTTCTAAGCACTATAATAATAAAAAAAAAACAGTTGGAGTTTTGTTGGTCAAATGCCACTAAAGTAAAAAGATAGGGTTGCTAAGATAGACTAAAAATTCTTTTAGTAATATTAGACACTAGACACTAGATACATTAGATGCTAATAAAATTGTCATTATTGTCAATCTCTTTTCTCCTACAGTGCCTAGGAAACACCTTATAGGGGTATGGACTTAGCCACAAATATTCTAGATATACCAGAAGCCCAGAGAAAATTTGGTACCTGGTGATGGGCTAAATCTCAATACACATATACATACATACATATACATATATATGTATACACACACACACACACACACACACACACACACACACACACACACACGCATTTTGCTTTTTGGTGAGGCAATCGAGATTAAGTGACCTACCCAGGGTCACACAGCTAGTAAGTGTCAAGTGTCTGAGGCCGCATTTGAACCCAGGTCCTCCTGGCTCCAAGGCCAGAGCTCTATCTACTGCGCCACCTAGCTGCCCCTCAATATATTTTCAATGTTAACTCTGGCCTCTTTACCAGAGACTATTCCCATAAAGGAATGAGGGCAAATGTTAAGAAGGTCAACTTGGAAATAAAATTACAAAGAAAAGGTTAAAATGCTTGGCTTGACTATCTGCTGCTCTTTAGAAGACAGCACCTATTTAAGTTACTATGGCAAGGACAGAGATAGATAACTTCACACTGAAATGAATGGGTCTCAGACAAGACTTTATTTAGCTGTAGCATGCCTTTGAGGCTGCTTTCAATGAGGATAAGACCCTTTTCATAAGTGAATGAATGAAAAGCATTCACCTGGTGATAGAAAACAAAAGCTACCACCAAACATTACATTACCATTAATACATGAAACTAAATGTTCCAATAAGGTGCTATTATATAAAACATACCTGAAATCAGAGGTTCTGCCTCTCAAGCATTTACAAACAGAACATATTCCAAGAAATAATGTGACATAATTATAACACATGGCTATCTATCCCAATTATACCAGCTAAAGGCTGCCCTGCTGGTTTTCTTCAAGCAACATAGTGGTATGGGGGCCTTTCTAGTTTCTCTAATGTGTAACTCTATATTATCATCAAGGGAAGAGATCAAGTACCCCTCTATGATTGATTACTATCCCATCTTTGATAATTACTAGTTATATGACCTTGGGCAGGTCACAGACTCTCTGGGCTTCAGTTCCCTAATCCATAAATGAAAATGATAAAACAGATGACCTCTAAGGTTCCTTCCAACTCCAAATTCTATGATCCGATGATCTTATGACCAAGAAGAAGAAGACAGCTTGCATTTCCTCTGAAATGCATCCCTATAGTACAATTTGTCTACTAATTCAATTTAAATTCAACAGCAGCCTACTACATGCCAGGCATCACGCTAGGCTCTAAAGATACAGAGACAAAACAAAGTCTCTCCCCTCAAGACCCTTAAACATTGGTAGTGGGGGGGCGGAGGTTTGGTTTGAAATGATAAATATACACACGACTATTTGAGAAGGAAAAGAGCACTAACCACTAAAGGGATCAGGAAAGGCTTGCTCTAGGTGGTAGTACTCAGACTAGGCTTTGAAAGAAATTATGAGAGCAGCAATAGCATAGTAAAAAGGGGTCTATGCTGGGGGGAGAGGGAAGGGGAGTAGTGCAGTTAGAGGATCTGGGTTCAAATTTCACCTCTGACACAAACTATTACTTTAGATAAGTCACTTAACTTTTTTTTGGACCTCAGTTTCCTCATCTGTAAAATGAAGAGATGGCCACTAAAAGTTCTTTCCAACTCTTGGTTGATTATTCTAAAGTTTCTAAGATTTGAAGGTGAGAAAGGAGTACATTTCAAGGATGTAGAAGATCAATCAGCCTATGCAAAGGCATGGAGAAAGGAGATAGATAGAATTCCAAATTTAGGGAACAGCAAGTAGGCCTTGCTAGAAAGGAGAGTGCACAGAAGGAGAGTAATGTGAAATAAGTCTGGAAAGACAGGCTAAAACCAGACTAGGAATTGCTTTAAATGACAAACTGAGAAGTTTGATTTTATCCTAGAGAAAAAGGGAGTCTCTGAGGATTCTTAAATGAGTGACATGGTCAGATCTATGCATGAAGATTATTTTGGCATCTGACCCATGCCTTGAGCTCCACAAGTAAGCTACTAGTACCAGTAGGGGTCACCATCTCTGTCAGTGGGAGGGGATTTCAAAATTCCACTTAAAAATAACACTCATTTGGGAAAAAAAAAATCTATTAGAAATGAACTGAAAAAGGAGCAGTTAGGTGGTACAGTGGATAGAGCACCAGCCCTGGAGTCAGGAGGACAAGAATTCAAATCCAGCCTCAGACACTTACTACTAGCTTGTGTGACCCTGCGCAAGTCACTTAACTTTGATTGCCCCCCCACCAAAAAAAGAAATGAACAGAAATTACTTGGACATGGAACATACTTGGAAAATTAACATTTTAAAACTAATTTCCTGTTAAGGTTATCAAGTATGACAATATCAGTCTCAGTTGTGTATTTAAAATCACCCATTTGGTTCTCAATACAATAGTAATTTAAGTCAAAAAAGTTTGGTTTCAAGTCTACATGAAAAAGCTAATATATAGAAACGAATATTTAAAAGAGGAACAAATACATTTAATTACTCAGTAAAGGCACCCCAAGAATTATTCATTTGTCTTCACAGATATTCCTTAATCCTTGAAGCAAAAGAACTTCAGGTATAAACCTGAAACAGAACTACACAGAAGTAGCAGCCTGCATTGCTGTCAATTTGCCCATGTATTATATTAAACAAAACAGTCCAGACTAAACCTATGTCCATTTAACTGGCCAGGCTTTTTTGTACATTAATCCAAAGCTATTTAGAAGTTAAAAACTAAATTCATCTAACAACTAAATAACTTTTGAAGCTAATGAAATGGCAAATTCCTCAAACTCATCTACTTGGATAACTTAAACACTCATTAAAATTAAGGTGCATTCATAAAGATGGAAGATATCCTATTGTGGTCATGGATGTTTCTTTGAATTTTTTTCATTCTTTTTAGATTGTTGTTGTCCAGTCCTCCTTTACTAACTCCACTTTTCTTTATTTCCATGTCCAATTCAGCAGCTGGTTGAACTAGACTCTGCCTCCCACATTGATGAGCTTTATCCACAATGCCTGCTGAGAGGGAAATTGACTAGGATAGCACAGATCTAATTAATTTCACTCATAGCAGGCACCATTGGTAAAGTGCTTGATCAGTGTAGGATCCTGGTGCTACATGAACTCTCTGGCACATCATGCCAGTTGCCACAGATGCCCAGTGGAGAAACAATTTTAAAAGAGATCTATTTGGGGGTCATCTTTTTGAGAACTTTTATAGGAAACAGCTAGCAATAAAATATATTACTGGCTTCAAACAGATTTGAACAAAATCAAAGTTCTCTCTAGTGAAAGACAATTTTAAAAACATATTTAAATGCTTTTAAATTTTTATTTGAAATTTTAAAAAATGTATTAAGTGTATTTTTCAAAGACTACTGAACTTGATAAGAATTCTGGAAATCCCAAACAATACTGAAGAATTTCTTACAACCATGTCCTCATTACTATCTTAAACCTGAAAGCATTTTGGTTCTTTCCACATCAAGAAACAATGCAGTATGGCTAAACATCCAATGTAAAGGCATTTTTAAATAGCTAACAGCAATCCCGATATGATCCTCCAAAATGCCGACAAGTGACATTATGAAAGCATGGTGCTGTTACTCTTGCATAACATCAGGGATTTTTCAAGTTAGATTGACACCAATATGAAAAAGGAATATTGTCAGTATGAATTCTAACTCTAGAATTAGGCTAAAAGAGAAAAGGTGAAAAGTTGAGAAACTGTCACTGACTTTATCCTAATCCACAGAATGTATTTTCAAATAAACTGTACAGTGTACTAAAACATCTAATGCTGTTAAAACTCATTAATTTTTCTCTTGCTTTTATTTCAACTTCCTAACACAGGCTCTTTGGCTCTGACAATGCTGAATGTGCAATAGTCACAATGAAATGAAAACTATGACATAAATGAAGACACTAATTTAGACTTCTGGATGGGATATAAATTAGGCCTTGATGCCATTTTGGCACCGAAAATCTTAGCCACCAGAGCCAAGGTGAGTTATTAATCAAGTGTGAAGTAATGCCTGCCTTAATGCTGAAGGGATTGAAAGGAAGGACATAATTACAGAGATACTATAATTTGCTTCACTTTAAGACACAAGAAGCAACTCAGTGTAAATCAGGAAATTGTTTGAGCTAAAACACGTCTGCTTAGGGATTACATAACCAGGATTCTTTCTGGGACAAAGAAGAGTTGTACAAGAGGGAATAAAGTGCCAGTAGTTTATCCTGCAGTGGGCATAGCTAGGTTAGAACAGCCTTTGCAAAGTGTTGCAGACACATTTTGCAGTCATTTTTATATTTCATTTTACTTCCCAAGTGACCTCCCCATCTTATCTTCAATTCAAACCACTCATCCATGGAACCTAAAACTCTATTGACTGGCACAACTATATCAGATTTATGATTGC